AGAAATGCCTCCATTCAAGCTTGGATGGAGGTATTTATCCATGGATCCATTCAGGATGGAGACACAGCAAAAAAGGGAAAAAAAAAAAACTTATAATGAAGACTTGACTGTGCGAGGAAAAGACGAAAAGAAAAATTGAGTCGTAGAGCATGATATTTGGCTCCAAAAGGAAAAGATAAAAAGATCTTTGGAAAGTAGACATTTTTTTTTTGAAAAAGCAATTTTGAAATTAAATCTCCCAATAAGTAACTTATCAAAAAGCTAAACGTGAAGCTTAACTGTTAATGTTAAACATATTTTACTTTTTTTAGGCTTCAGGCAAAAATGATCATAATACAAAAATATTGAACTTGTATTTTTCATGACGAGAACAATTATTGAATTAACTCACCCGAAACTTGGATTCTTCTTGACTGTCTATATAAGCAAGCAGTTTCTCTTGCCTCGTCAAAGCTTCATCCAGACCCTACTCAATAGAAACACAATCCACTATCACTCAACTTACCTTTGGAAAGACGAAGATTAGAGTGTAAAATAAATAGTCAATCCTATTCAAACTCAATAACATATGTCTCGCACAAGTTTTCCATTACTTTTGCTGTTATAAGCCAAGAAAAGTAGTTGTGTTATAAGAAGATCAATTGTAAGATTAACATGCTCCAGAAAAATAAGGTCTTACATAGACACAGATGATCCATTCCGAGTTCCATACAACCCTGATAATAAGATACCAACACCCTGCAATATAAATGAAAGTTATTCACCAAGAATCTGGCATTCAATGGTTTCTAAAAAGTATAACTAAGACTTATTCTAATTTTGCAAGAAAATTCTAAAAAATGGTGAATAGTGATCATTCCACATTATATTAGGCAATCATTACAAGCATGTTCTCTTTACTTGCACAAGCCTGAAAGCATGTCGTATGAAATAGCATATATGAGATCATATGTTCCATTGCTAATGTATAAACTTAAGACCTTTAGAGCTAAATTCATATCTTCCTCTAATTTCAAAGGAGAAGCCGTGGGTTCATGTGGATGGTTATGAAGCAAATAAAGAAATAACAATGGTTGGCGAAAGGGCACTTTATTATTTCATTTTGACTCCAGCCTAATTAAAATATGTGTTAAGGATGAACTAACTTCGGTACCTGCACAGCAATACGTTGACCAGCAATGCTCTTCCCACTCTCTTTAAGCAGGGCCTCAGTTGCAAAGAGGACACCTCTTCCTGTAGCTGCATCTCTTCCAAGAGATCCACCAAGATCCTAAAAATAAGAAATTTGGATCTTCTGAGTTACAAAAATGGAGAAATTTCAGAAGAAAAAAGCAGGTTTTCAAATACTATAAGAGAGCATATCGCATCATCAGATAACATTAGAAGTTAAAAAAATAACCATGAACCTCACTGAAGTATCATTTGAGAGCTTTTTATAAACTTACAGTAGGTTTTCCAGTTACTATTGCAGGGAAATACCCATGAAATTTTGAATACTCATCTAAGATCCAATCCATTGTCTGTTCAACCGCACAGCAAAGATTGACAATAAATTCAAATACATGTCACTGACTTCATTAAAATCAGACGGTAAGGTTGAGATATATGTTAAAAAAGATGTGGATTTGTTCCCATATCAAGCGCTGGAACATCTGTGTGGACTCCAACCAGATCATGTATCTTTTGTGTGAAAACTCGAGTAAGTCTTTCTAGCTCAGAGATGCTCAAATCTCCTGGATTACATCCTATCCCTCCTTTGGCTCCACCCTATGGTATGTTAGCTACTGCAATTTTCCATGTCATGAGTTGCGCCAAAGCATTCACCTCATCTGGGTCTACCTACCTTATCCATATAGAATTTTGATTATAAATAAACGGGGAAAAAGTTTAGAGACTGGATCCACCTACACAATACAATCATCAAGATTAGGAAGGAATATAAAAATTTACATCTGGAAGAGCTTATTTTAACAATTTAATTTGAAAAAAAAGAAGCAGAATCTACTTGGCAACTGGTCTGGCTAAATTCAGAGAGCTGAACCATAATGGTTGCATCTCTAAATCAATTCATAGTTAATCCAGTTTAAAGTGTTCAGCCATCTAAACTTTAACGAACCTCAGGATTGTATCTTATTCCTCCTTTCATTGGACCTGTCGCATTGTTATGCTGGAACCTTGAACCTCACAAATGATGCCAAGGTGCCATCATCTTTCGGTATGGTACATTCAACCTGTGATTTTGACCAGAGCAGGTAAGGAACACAATTAAACAAAAGGAAGTAAATATTGTCAAAACGAAAGCACACGCGGTGCTTCCATCCTGGAAGGAGGTGTCTGACGAAGGCACAAAAAAAAAAAAAAAAATT